ATATTTTCTTTGTTCTGAAATATTTTTTTTATCTGGTAGGAAAATGTCTTTTTATTAAGCAGCCATGCCTTTTTTTCTTTGATTGCCTGTCTCTGCAACTCAGCATTTGACACAAATCTTTTCTTCGAAAGGGAAAAAGCATAAGCAGCCAAGGAAGAAGGTATTTTTATTGCATTGGATTATGCAAGATTTTGGCCAGCCTCCTTAGCTTCATCTGTTTAAGGGTTCATTTTCGCTTGTTTGGCACAAGTCCCAGCAGAGACCTTCAGAATTGTGGTTAGCAACATGAATGAACACAAACTTTGGGAGCTCTTCAATAAGTAGAGCTGGCCAACTGCCAAAAATACAGTTCCTTATATGGGGTCAGGGCAAAGCTGTGATTCGGCGAGCCCCCTATTGTATAGAAAACATACTTGTAATGGCTGTTTGCGTTCTTTAAAATAAAAACAAAACAAAACAAAAAAACACCAGGCTTCCAAGTCTCTCAAAATAGGAAGTAACAAAATAGTGTGCAGGTTTTACTAATGATGGAGTTGAGCAAAGGAAATATGGCTCTGTGTAGTTAAACTATAGAGCTGAAAGTTGGACCTTTTGACCTCCACAGCCGGCTTGTGATGTAAGGAACCCAAGCATTTGTGAGACATCTGTTGTCTACCTGCCCTTATTTTGTAAATGGTTTAATAAGATTAAATAATTAGTAGGATAACCACATGGTCGCCATACTACTGAGTCCTAGCATTGAGTGCATACTTCAGGATTGCAAAGAAGTCTACCCATCCTGCTACACTGTGGTTGTTTTAAAATGCAATTTAGGTATTTTTAATATTTGCTACAGTAATTTTCTTATTAGAGTTTTTTTTTTCTTAACTGATCTTGTGAGCAACAAGTAAAACACACTTTAGAACCTGATACTTTTCAAAGCACTGCAGTTCTCTTTCTGTACTCACAAATGGAAAATAATATTTTTTCTTTTAAATACATTCAGTTTTTAAAAAACAACTTAAAAAAATTTGTGCATTAGGAAGGCTTCTTTAAAATATATTTATCGTTTCTCCCCCTTTTTTAAAAAAAAAAATTCACGTTTTAATTGGTTTCTTGCAGGCAAACACCCTACCTGGATCTTCTCTCAGTCTGCCTCCATCTCACATGTACGGCAACAGGCTGAATCCAAATTCAGCAATGGCAGCACTTATAGCTCAGTCTGAAAACAGCCAAGCAGGTAAGCTTGCTGCTGCTGGTGACAAACGTGTGACATTACAGACTTAAGTATTTTTAAAAAGATTGTTAAATTTAATGTTATTGTTGAACTCTGCTCAGCACTTGGTTACTAAATGCCTGTATAAAGTTGTTATGTGTTGGAAGTAAATTCTCAACTGTCCTGCAGAACGGCACGGGTTTTCTCCTCCCTCCCCCCTCCCTCCCCCTTTTTTTTTTTTTTTTTTTTTTTTTTTTTTTTTCTAATCTATAATTTTAGCAAAAAAAAAGGAATGCAACAATGTCTCCTGTGACTTCTGTGATTGATGTGTTCAGTTTGGAGCTCTTTGCAACGAGAGTAACACAGCTCTGGGTTTTGTCGTGAATAGTTTAAACCTTTATTTGCATAATTCATGAAATTGCATTACATACAACTTCGTGTGAAAGCGATCCCGTTAGAGAACTTCTGCAGCATTTAATAATCTTGTGAATATTTACCGATTGGCATTTCGTACCATTGGCTTTCCTCTACAGTTTTAATGAGCTATACTGGCTTTGCTTTGTTTCATTCCCTCCGTAAGGATTTGTTGACATGTCGTAGTAGTCATGCCTGTTTGGGGGAAGGGAATGAGTTTCGCAGTTTACCAAGAATGGATCAGTCATGTCTTTGCCCTCCAAGAGGTCGGAGGTCGCTTGACTCAGAATAGGGGGAGGGCAACCTTGAAGGGGGCAGATAGGGTGATTTTATTGAGAGGCCATAGGGAAAATAACCCTTTTGAGTCCTTCCAAGCAAAACGTTTTCGTATATTTAATGAGGCCTTTTTTGTTTGTTTTACTACCTTTTTAGCAAGGGACTTTCCTATGCTTCTGCTTATAAATAGGAATTAGTGAATTACACACTTTCATAAAGTTTTCCGTAAATTTGTAGAATAACGTGTGCTTGTTAGATGGTGGCGGTAAGTTTAATATGTTATATATTTTATGAGTTGTTTTGGGATGCAAAGTGTTAAAAAAATACAGAGCATCAGGATTTGCTGTGATAAGCATACAGATTAGCTGTCCACAGCTGTGATTCATTACTTTCACCGTACAAATTAAAAGTGGCTGAGGGGAGGGTACTGCAAATGCAAACCACGCTTCTGTGCTGTAAAACTGAAAGGAATGAAAGAAGTGAACATAATCCATGGCCTGGTACAGCCTCAGAAATGTGTAAGGACAACACCTTACATGCTACAGTTCAGCAATCTTAAACTAGTTACGTATTCACTCTTCAACAGTAACTACAGATAGAATTTGAGATTTAAGGTATTTTTAAAATATCTACATCAGCTTTAAAACTCTTACCTAAGAAGAGTCGATTTATCAGCTGTGAAATATTTACACTGCAGATCAAGATCTTGGAGATAATAGCCGAATCCTTGTTGGCAGAGGAGGTTCACCCAGAGGAAGTCTGTCACCACGGTAAGCATTATTTACATTGGAGAGTGCAGGCAGAGGAAATGTTTTAAGATTTAGAAACTTCACTGTCTTTTTACTAGTAATATATAAGTGTTTTAAAAGCCTATATATACATGTATATATGCACACACATGTACATTTATTTTTCTACAGATATATCCATCTGAAAAAAAAAAACTTGTAGGTCCAGATAGGTAAAAATGTGCTGAAATTTACTTTTATATCAACTGAAATTAGGTTTACAAATGAAGGACATTACTTAAGAAATGGACACTTGCTTTAGAGGGATTTATCTATCATTTAATCCACATCTACTACTTATCTCCTCCGATTTTTTACCATAATCATGTTTTTAGTCATATTTGCAAAAATTCCAAAATGCCATAGACTTAGACTACAACAATCACAGGAATAAGATGGTCTGAGAAGTTAAATATCAGTAAAAATTTCAAACAAATACTTTCTTCCCTTTCCCTCACCACTTCAAAATGTGCAGCAATTCTCTGTGGAGGGAAAGAAAGTACCTTTTTTTTTTTTTTGTTGTGCTGCAATTCACCTCTACTGCAGAAATGTGACATAAGAATTCTGCTGGAATTGTATCACATTATTTTGTTTTAAAATACTTGCTGTTAAAATTTCAATATTGTGTTTTAAATACTTCAGTAATATTTTCTGTATATTTTAAGTGAATCTTTGTTTGTAAAGGACTTTATTTTCTATACTGGATCCCATATGAATTAGATTTTATAGTGTTATTATTGTATTTTTTTACTTGGAGACTAACCACAGATATTTTACCTTGAAAGGGATTTTAGGATAGTAAAAAAATGTTTGTTACACAGATACAGCATTGTAACAATGAATTTGATTGTTACAGCATGTGTTTATTACAGTAATTTATAATAAATATCTCCCAATTAGATAATTTAATGTACATGCCTGGTGTTGTTGATCTTCTATTATGTTCCTTAATTAATCAAAAGGGTTCTTGTCGAATGGGGTGAGAATATCCATTATAATACTTAGATGTTATTACCTAGTCATGAACTGGCTTTTAAGCTTTCCAATATGTGTTGCTTCTAAAACAATAAATAGAGAATTTACAGATTAGTTTAGACTGTGTTCTCAGTAAAAATACATATATTTACATTAGCATATAAATCTTTATATAAATAAGGAACATGTCTGTATATATAGACAAGTAAGTTAAGAGAATTTTGCAAAGGGAAATGCTCAACAATTAGGAAATTCCAGAACTTTTGATTATTTATTAAGTAGTCCTCTTATGCATGCATCTTGTGGTAATTACAAGTTTTAATGCCGCCTTAGTTCATATACAAAGGCCTGGTCTTTGTATGATTTGCAGTAGGCCATAGTTGTGTTCAGGCTGTCTTTAGGTAGAATATTTGGGAAGCTAAATTCCTAAATATGATACTTCTATGGAGTTTATTTTCAGGGTATAGACAGTCCAGTACTTATAACATGGTCAAATTTCAGGTGGTTTTGATGGGGGTGGCAAAGGAGAACTGTATGATACAAAGGCCACCTCAGTCCACAACTGCAGAGCAGATAGCTTTTGCTTGGGAGTAAGTTGTTCAAAAACAAGCCAAAAAATGGCAGGGGAGAGAGGGGGAGAAATCACTGCTATAGTTCCACAATTGAAAGATGAACAAACTTAGTCTGAAATATCTAGCATGGAAAAAATTTAGAAAACTTACCCGTTCAATTAAGTTCAGAAGTCAACAAATTTCACCCCTGGTTTGTGTGCTAAGACAGACACACATATGTTGAAGTTTCTAAAATGTGTAGGTAACTCTCCACCTTCCCCATTTAAATAAATAAGTAACTCTGATTGCTTAAAATATGCTTTGTAGTGAATAAAAAGCTAACTTAAAGAATCTGCTATCTGAAAACTTTGCAACTGTGAATGTTACCTGCTTTATTTATTAAAATTATTTTTCTGCAAGTTTGACTCTATTCCCTTTGAAGTTTATGAGATACATAAATAACACACTTCTCCAAAAGAACCATGTAATTTTCAAATAGTTGTTTAAAATAAAAACACTTGCAGAAACAATTGTTTGCTGTTGATGACGTAGCCAATTGCAGCTTTTTGAGAAGACATATGTGACTCATGAGCTGTATGGTCATTTCAAATTCATATTGTTATATCTTTGTACCCCTATATAACCAGAGTGTTTGATGTTTAAACTGTCATATTTAAAATTTTAATATATATGAGAAATATAAATATACTTGGTATATGTGAGCTGTTTCCGTTTTGCAGAGGAATTGCTGCTTTTCCCAAGGTAGCACTTAAACTTTTTTTCCCTCATACTTAACCTTAGATTAAAAAATGTGTTATGTAATACCTTCATTGAAATATGCATGTATGGCTATATCTAAATGCAGTATTGCTTACAATTAGTACTATTAAGACTATGAATAACTGTACCCCAAACTTAAACAAAAAACAGTTGTGAAAGTAAGCAAGGTGTGAAACATGGGATTCCCATCTCAGTGATGACGTTTGGCCTGCAAATACAGCACATTATAATCCTATTGGACACTATGATCGAATACTGTTTGGAATAAGGATTCGACCCTAGTATGCAGGAACTGTGTCATGTCTAACGGATGAGGTAGAGGTTCAGCTGGAAGAGGATGGATTGACTAATGTTGCAATACGCGGAAATCTAGATTTTTGTTAAATTTATTTTTTTTAACTCCTCCTATACAGGCTTCCAGTGAAGGATTGCGGAGGTTATACAGTCATGTGTTACTTTGTTTCTACCTTTGTGAAATTGATAGGAAACAGTCCTAAGCCCAACAAGAATTTTGTTGGTGACTTATAATTCAGATGGCGTGATCTCTTAAAGTGGTGTTATGCATCCTTCAAAAGCATGCGTACAGAGAAAGAAATTGCTGGGGGATGTTGTGTGGTGGTTTTCTGTATTTGTTTTCTGGTTTTTTTTTGTTTGGTTGGGTTTTTGTTTTTGTTTTTTTTTTAACGGTGGTGTTTGTGTGGAGTGTAGTACATCTGTTCAGAATGTTTCCGCATAAACCTTCCTTCTTATCACTTCAGCACATCATGTAAACAACTAGTTTTAAGGCTGGTTTTGTCATGTCTGTGCTGAACTGTTAAATGCTGTTGAGTTGTCATCTCTTGTCAAAAATCACTACCTTGGTTACCCATTCATCAGGGCTTTTTGTTTTAACAAGCGTTTTTCTTCTTTCATCCTGTATGCAAAAGAGGAATTGTTTATAAATACTTACAGAGCTCTTAAGTCACCTACTTAAAACCTTTTCTCATAAAAATCGCTTTGCTCTGGTGCCTACAAAATGCTTGACAGTCATTAGGTAGCTAATGTGCCATGACCACTGCTTATTACGCTAATCATAATTAACACACTGATTTCCTGAGCTCTATATGTTGTCCAGTACTGGGACTATGGTGGTCTTGTTGATAAGTTTGCACTACATGTAGAACAGTATGGCTGTGATCCTGTGATGGCACCAATGGTTATTTCTTATAAATTAGTTATTACTGTAAGTATCTGAATCTGAGCTCAGTGGAGTTGATTTTAAAAAACAACAACAAAACAAAACAAAAACCCCACCAACCAGCTTTTAGTGGGCTTTGGTGTTGGTCTTGTATGAGGAATGGGACCATGCATACGTGAGGACAGAATCCTGAGTAAGAAATACACTGAACATCTGGTTTTGCTCACAGGCTAAATTTTGCCCCATCCAATGCAAAAGAAGCCTTCTTACAGGACCTGAAGGTTACCCAGCTTTCTCAGTGGCTGTGTGGGAATATTTAATTTTCTCCTGAATGAGAAAAGACATGTGGCAAAGGGATTATTCTTTGAACTATGTGTGATCATGTGCAAAAAAAGGAAGTATATTAAGTGTGCACAGGACAGGCAGAGGATAACTTTAACTTTCATTGCATCCCTTGTGAAGTAGTATTTTCACATGGTCCCTCAAAAATCTGGTTTTACATGATTCTTTTTAGAACAGGTTACACAGTGGAATTATATATGGCCTTTCTACATGAAAGTACCATTACTGTGCTGATTTTAATAAATTGTTTTTATTTTCCCAGTTTTCTCTGGGAAAAATTCGAAGATTTTTTCTTTTCTTTTTTTTTTTTTTTTTAAAGACCAGTGCTCTATGTGTTCACATACAGTGGTTTCCTGATGTAGAAGTATATGTTGTATAATTTAATACAATGTTGTTTGTCAGTTAGGTATTATGTAGTCTGTATGCAAGAAGAGGTTATGTGCTTTCTCAGTATAAATTCTCACACTGTGAAATATTACATCTTTCTTTTATTAAAGCCTTGACAGTGAGAACTATGAGTTCTTAGGGATTTTGATGAATTAACTAGGTCTTGGAAGTGTAAGATATGTGGGTGCTAAGGGCTGATATAAGGTAAGAAACTTCAATAGCCTTTTCCTAATATATTTCCTTCCATCCTTTTCTTGAAACAATAAACTGCAATATTTTCAACAGATCCCCTGTAAGCAACTTGCAGATTCGCTATGATCAATCAGGGAACGGTTGTGGGGAAAATTTGCCACCAGTAGCAGCCAGCATAGAACAGCTTCTGGAGAGGCAATGGAGTGAAGGACAACAGTTTTTATTAGAGCAAGGCACACCTAGTGACAGTAAGTACTCACATTCTGTTTATTACTGCTTTTGTTAACTGTGTTACTCAGAACTGCTATTCAGTGCTTGTCCAAGAATTTTTTAAAAACTTATTTTCTGCTGTGAATAGAAATACAACTGTAGTGTGTAATTGTAACACAGTTCTTCATGCAGCATAAGGCTTCAGTAGATTACAAAATAGTTCTCTATAATTATCTACATTTTTATGGATGGGGAAATTGTGTCATGCGAGAGGAAGTGACTTGCAGATCCAGCTGGGCGGTTGCAGAGTTTGGAAATGAATTCTGAACTCCTGGATCCACTACTGTAAATAGCATAGCACAGTTCCCCAGTTTGCTTTATATTGTGTGACATAAATGGGCATAATAATATTTTATTGCTATATTTTTCATTTTTTAAATCTAAACTGCCTACTTCTGTTGCTATTGTAAAAAAAATATTTACAAATGTTAGGCAGGTGTCCTACTGGGCTTTCGTATCTTTATTATGTTCTGCCTTTCTCGTGAAATTCTCAAAGCAAGCAAATCATTGTTTTCTCAAGTTGTGTTTAATAGAGTGGAATAGTCCAAGAATGAATACGTTAAAAGCTTAAGTGATGAGTAGATCACTTGGAGCTCCATATTCAACAATATATCAGTATCAAAGACAACGATTGAATACATTAAAAAATTTTTTTTAATAGCAGGTTAAGGTTTGTGTTATATTTTATTAAACATAGTCTTCTTGTTGGTAGTGTAAAGCAGTATCTAGTTGGTATTTTTATGAATGGTATCCTGACAAAAATGCTAATTGTGAGGAAATTCATGCAGGGATAATCCTTTAAACATGATAGCTGGAGGACAGGTTTAGCTAAGTCTTATTGCATCTCATTTGGGCTCACTGAGGGTTCCTTTGTATGTTCTTGAAGAGGAGGGATAAAAGCTAAATCCTTGGGAAATGACCAGATGTGCCTATACCAGTAGACTTATGTCTGTAGTAGGCCCATAGGTCACGTTAAACAAATACAATTTAGAATTAAAAAAAAAAAAAAAAGCCTATCCCTGTGGCTTTACAGTCACACTCCAGTACTAGTTGGCAAATCCAAGTTCTGAAACCAAATTGGAGTTTGAGAGAACCCTGCTTGGTGAAAATCAGGTTAGTACAGAAGATGATGCCCTTTTTCTGCAAAAAAAAGGGGTGGTAACTGCAGTGCTCACACAGTGCTCCCTGCTGGGTGATTTGTAGATCGCCGCTCAAAGCAGATGAGAGCTCCTGCTGCCAACAAGGTGTGTCGTGATAACTTCACGTTGGATGACGTTTTTTTCATTGTTACTGTAAGTTTGTGATTCACTGTACAAGGCATTAAAGCAGAAAAACTCCATTTTCACAAACTTGCTTGTTTTTACAAAAATGTTGTTGGTTGGCTGTATTGTTAGTTTAATGTATATTTGTCAAACTTTTTCTGGTTTGATAACGTATAAAATTTCTAGTACTGTAGCTGAAATAGATTTTTCCCAACTATGCAATTAACTGGTGCTACTAAAGTAATACTATTTTTATATTCTGGTTTGGGGATAAGTTATCATGTACTGCCGTTTGCTTAAAATGAGTGTCAACCTTAATGATGCAACTTTATCTGTATTTAAGACAGGGTGTAGCTATATTGCAAAATTACTATCACATGCTATGTACTTTTTTCTGCGCTTTGAATTACACAAAATTGATCCTAAACTTGTCCATTTAAAGTCAAATTTCCATAATGTATCTCTCAGTAATAATTGTATTTGTATTTTCATATATGACTTAATGGTAGTTTTAAATTGTAATACAGAAATTTAAAAAATGAAGATGTTATTCATTCTTTGAATGTGGTTGTGAAAGATAACATACGCATTTTTACCTTAGTTTTAGGAATGCTGAAATCATTACACCAACTTCAGGTTGAAAATAGGCGGTTAGAAGAACAGATAAAGAATCTGACTGCCAAGAAGGAGCGGCTTCAGCTACTCAATGCACAGCTTTCGGTGCCCTTTCCAACAATAACTTCAAATCCTAGCCCTTCTCATCAAGTACATGCCTTTCCAGTACAAACAGGTAAGTAGGAGGAGACTATTGAAGTGTCAAAGTAATTTGAACATGTATTTATATGAAATATTTATTTCATCCATGTATGCCATTGATGGGAGAGGCATATACAGGTAGGATGAATATACACTAAGTATTTGTTGATGTGTTTAAATGTTTCATAGTCAACTGGAGGATTTATATGAACCATTACAATTTGGTTCAGTGCAGTTTCTTTTTTACTTCACTCTGGGGCACATCTGTTTGAATCTATCGATTCACCAATTATTTAGTGAATATTCTACTATTCTGCAATGATTTTAAGGTTACATTTTCTGTGTTTACCTTTGACATTATTTTGAAATAATTCTGAATCTTTTTACTTGTTACAGAAATTTAACCACTCTGTGTTTTTTGAAATAATTACTTTAGCACCTAGCACTGATTCCTTGAACAGCAGTAAAAGCCCTCACCTGGGAAACAGTTTTTTACCAGACAATTCTCTTCCTGTATTAAATCAGGTAATTTTTATTTGTTTCTTCTAAACTTAAACTTGTTACAAGTTAACTCATCGTAGTCCTTGCACTGTGCTGCTAGGTGAAATTTTGTGCAGCTGAGGGGGCTTTGTTGTTTGTTTTTACACCAGGAGATGACCTCCAGCGGACAAAGCACCAGCAGTTCATCAGCTCTTTCCACTCCACCACCTGCTGGGCAGAGTCCAGCTCAGCAAGGCTCAGGAGTCACAGGAGTTCAACAGGTCAATGGTGTGACAGTGGGGGCACTAGCTAGTGGTATGCAGACTGTAACCTCCACCATTCCTGCAGTGCCTGGTGTGGGTGGAATAATTGGAGCACTGCCAGCCAGCCAGCTGGCAATCAATGGAATTGTAGGGGCTTTAAATGGGGTAATTCAGACCCCAGCAACAATATCACAGAACCCTTCTCCTCTCACTCATGCAACCGTGCCACCCAGTGCAACTCATCCTCTGCCAACCACGTTAAATAACAGGTAAGAGCTGGCTGATTTGATGTTTTTGCTGATAGTGCCTGCTGTTCTTCAGTTCAGCTATATTTTTAACTGTCTTATTCAAAAGGTACTGATTCTTCCTTAGCCTGTAATTGTCAAACTAGGTTCTGCTTCTGATCTGTGAATGAAAGTAAGAAGGCATTTAATGGAAGCACGAATAGTCAAGTTAAGACGTTTTTTGTTTAGCTTTTGGGAATCCTAGCGTCCACTTATTCCTGTTTTTTAATCAAGTCACATTGCCAAACAAATGTAATTATGTAAATGTGCTTCAGCTCTTTATTTAGTTCAGAAAACAATGTTCTTTGTCCTGCCAATTGTTCTTCCAGGATTAAAGGAGCACTGGAAAGGCTACCATTTGTTGCAGTAAGAAGAGGGGGAGGGGGAGAAGGAGAACAGTATATGGTCATGTAATTAAAGATGTAATAGGCATAACTAACCAGAGCAGTAATACAGTTGCATGATGTTTTCAGTTCTCTGCATCTGACTCCAAAGACAAGAAAATTAGTTTTTCAAGTAGTGTTCCTAAGGATGTTTAAATGCATAAAAAGATCCATGCTTGAGTTTTCATAACAGCCCTTCCTCAAAACCCGGTATCCTCAGTAGCATAAACTGTTGCTGCTTGAGCTGCAAGGCAAATGGGTAACAAAAGGAGACAGCTGCCTTCCAGGAAGGGGAATGGCCTGCTTGGTCTGGAAGTATTTTGGGATAGAGCAGAGCCTGGGCTAACTCATTCTCCCCACTCCCCTTCCCCCCACCCCTTGTATTGTCCTTCACTTAGGAAGGAAAACTATGTATGGTTCTGTGTAGAAAGAAATGCCTGCAAATAGGGAGTGGATTACTTCTCTTTAAATAGAGTTTACTTTTTGAGATGATAGTGTATTACCCACAAAAAAAGGTGTATGTGATTGGAAAGATGTAAGGGATCCCTAGTTTTATAGCTGCTTCTTCCAGTTTCTTTCCTTGCTGTTCATTTGGCAGCTCCTGAATATTCGTGTACTGTATCGTTGTGTGGTATTGCTTCAATAGGCTCATAAAACCTGATACTTTCAAGTGTATCCTGTTGTTTTGACGTGCTATTATATTTTTGCTGAGGAAGTTATATTTTTTCATAGTTTATATCATGTATGAACATAACATTTCTTTAAGGTTAAACAAAAGACATTTCTTTAATGAAAAGTTATCAGCTTTCTTGAGTATCAGAGGTCTGCTGAGAACACAAGAATTTTTGTGTTACTCTCCCCAAAAGTGTGAGGAGGAGTGAGAAATACTAGACAAAATCAGTAGTGTTAACCAGTTGTATAATGCTTTCCACTTTCAGGTAATGCCAAAATATGCCAGTCACACTACTGTTTTCTTGTATGATTTTGTTAATACACAGTTCATTTGTTTCCGATTCTTTACATTGCAGAATTATTCTTTTTTTATATCCACCTTAACTGCTGTAACTCTTGAGTGTCTAGCCTAGTAGTAGACTACTCCAGTTCATGCCGAATACTGCAACTAGTATTCTGTTCATAAGCTCTCATTCTAACTTTTAGCATAGTGTGGAATACTCCAACAATTCCCCATTTTCTGCTACAACAAGCTTATGATGTACAACTCTGCCAGCATTTCCATTTCTCTATTTCTATTCTTGCATGATCTCTTTCTGCACTGCTCCCTCAATAATACTAATTTAAAATTAGTCTTTATATTAAATTTAAAAGTGCATTTTTCACACAATTCTCTGCTTTATTGAGCTCATCCAGATGATTTGCTGGGCCCCCTTCCTTTTGAGTTATTTCACAATTGGCCCCATTTTCTGTGAGTTTTCAGCATTTCTAGTTGTATATTTAGAGGAAAAAAGTTCAAGCTGAGCAAGCACTAATGCTATTTAGTGCTAATATGATTTTAGTAATGACATGTACATGCCTCATTCCTGTTTCTTCCATTACAAACCCTTCAGTGAAAAATATGAAAAAACTTTTCTGTTACTGGAAATAAGTTGTGAAGAGACTCTGGGATGACTTTGAATGAAGAAAAAGAAACAAACAAAACCCCCAATTTTCCACTGGTTGAGATTATAGATTCTGAAACTATATCGGACACCATTTGTTCCTACCAGTCTTTAGTTCAATGCTGTTTCAAGTGGCAACTAGTTGACTATTTCTTTAATGTTAAATTCCTCTAGGTATCACTACTCTTTGGACTGTTTAAATGGGGAGGTTAAATGGTAACAAGCACAGGCAGACGTGGAGGTTTGCTACCATGCTATTGCAAACTTTCCGAACCTGGTTGGATCACATCGTGGTGATCAGGTTTGGAGGTGGTTTAAATCGGTATTTGCAAGACAACAGAAGGCCACATTAGAACTCAGCCATACTTTCTAACTTGTGTGTATTGTTCTGTAATTAAGACTTCTCAGACGCTCCTATAAGTTGCTACTTATAGTAACTTCCCAAGCTTCAGAATCTGTTCAGACAGTTTCATGTGAAAAATAGCTAGATTATTCACCAATACATGAAGACTTCTTTATGCATACTGTCCTTATTCATGTGAGCTCTTTAACTGTGGTATGTAGGGAGGTGAGAAAACACTGATTTGCACACTGCTGTTTGAGAGAGTTTCAAGTTGTAGGTAAAAGAACCTACATTCATTCGACAGAGAAAAATACTCGATCGTTTTCTGGGAAAAAGATGGCTTAATACAGATTGCTAGCAACCGGGAGATTTAAGTGATTTGAGGAAAAAGATAGTATTGTTTCTTTACATTCTCACAACCAGAGAAGACTGTAGGATGGAGAGTTTCAGAGTGATCATATACCTTTTAATGAGAAGCTAAAAAGGATTAAATTTACATTCCAAGCTGATCTGGTTTAGAGAAAGCTCTGTGGTGAAATCCAGTGAACAGCCTCTTCTGGGAAGCTCGGGAGCTGCAGCGTTTTGTCTTCTGCAGTTAGGCTTTGTTTCTAGACACTTAGATCTCAGCTGCTGGCTGCAGGTATTTTCTTTCAAGTGCCAATGCAGAGCAAGAGAGGAAGGCAGAGCAGATAAGGGAGAAAACTACCAGAAAAAAGAAGTGCAAAGGTAAAACATGATACAGGGGAAAAAAGAAAGAATGGGATAAAAGAATGAAAAAACAGTGGAGAAGATTCATTCCAGTATAGAAGAATACAGAAAAAGAGAGGTAAAAAGAGAAGGAGGAAATAATGGTAATATTAGTCAAAGTGAAGGTACTTAGTTTTTGCAGTTGTTACAAATATTTTTGATACAATTGAATTTAAAGCTGTTTGAAGGAATTTCAATTAATCGATGAGTGTCATCGTTTGAAAGTCAAACGCATGCACGGTTCTAGCTTATGTTAGGCCTGAGTTTTGCTGTTGTAGCTCAGGAGGAAAATCTAGGAGTTTGCTTGGATCAGTAGAAGTGTCATCTCTGCTTTCATCAACAATCAAACAAACATTGCTAGCTGTTATTGGGAAATAAATAGAATGGTTTTATCCATTTTGTGTTCTGTCACGTTAAATCCCTGGTGTGTATGTACCTGGAATATTATGTGCAGTTCTGATTATGCAGTTTCAGAAAAGGATATAATATAAGGGAAAAACCAGTACGGCAAGAATAATCAGAGATAAAATGGCTTGCACAGGACGAGGTCAGTAGAATTGAATTCTTGGCTAGGGAAAAAGACCATTGACAAGAGGTTTGAAAACCAGGAGAGTGGTGGAAATGATAGTAATAAATGTTGTGAATTAGATGATGGGAAATCATAGAATCGTTTAGGTTGGAAAAGACCTTTAAGATCATCAAGTCCAACCATTAACCTAACAGTGCCAAGTCCACCACTAAACCATGTCCCGAAGCACCACATCTACATGTCTTTTAAATGCCTCTCAGGATGGTGACTGCACCACTTCCCTGGGCAGCCTGTTCCAATGGTTAATAACCCTTTTGGTGAAGAAGTTCTTCCTAAAATCCCATGTAAACCTCCCCTGGTGCAACGTGAGGCCG